TGAATCCCTTATATTGTTTGGTTGCTAGCAATGATTTAAAAAAAAAAAAGCATTTTGGGGGTTCATTTTATTAAAATCTGCAAAGAGAGAGTATGTAATCCATCTGAATATATATCCCAAGACTCTGACAACTGTAGTTTTCTCTGTTCCTTATTTTGTAGCTTTTTCTGTGCTGGGATCCTCACCTCCCTCACTCTTATTTATGGTCATTTTATACTTTGTAGCTGCTATTGTTACAGGGCACACTCAGCCCCAGCAGAGGCTCCCCCAAACTGAAACTAAACCCACAGGTCTGGCTGCCTGCCCCCAGACGAAGATGTTGGTGAAAATGGAAGTCAGTTTTTATTCATGAATACTGGTGACCTGAGGAGAGATGTTAGGCTAACCCATCTCCCATGGTAAACCTGAAGTGGCTGGCCAGGCTAAAGCCATCGTAAAGACTCAGGTTTACTGAGGGTTTTTTAAAGAGCGGATGAGAAATGAAAAGCAGGAGGGAGGGGCACGTGAGCAGCAGCGAGGGCTTCCTGCAGGGTCTCAGGTGCAAAGTCTGGTTTCTGCTCTTGTCCTTGCTGTTGTTCGTGGTCCTGCTGGAGGGGTAGAATCAGCATAGCTTTATTGATGTCTTCCTTGGTTTCCCAGGGTCTGGATAGTACGTGCAAGTCTGCAGCTACAGTCTGGCTGGAAAACAACTTTACATTCATGTAAATATCATCTTGCCTGGTAACCAGGGTTCAAAATATTAAATAACCGTGGGAAAAGAGGGACTCAGACAAATGTATGCTAAGGAAAAACAAAACAAAACAAAAAAACCTGTGTTCCTTTAAAATCTTTTAGAGCCCATGCAGTTATAGGTCTCAACATGGCTTTAGTCCTCACTTCCAACCAGATTAAGTCATCCTTGAGCTGGATTATAATTCTCTCATGGTAGTTCACCCTCATAATCTCTGTTTAGCACAATGTCTTTGTCAAGTGAGTTCTTTTAACTTTTATGTTCTCAAAACTAACCTGAGTTAGGACAAGTTTTCTTTAGTATCTGTTAAAAATCAACTGGCCTTATCAATTTAAGCCAATTAATGGCATTGGGGAAATATAAGCCTACAGAGTAGAGTGTTCATGATTTGCTTATCAGTTTCTTTTTTATTTTTCCTGATTTTCCTGATTATCAAAATTGGCGGGCATATACTTCTTGATTTCAAAACTTAATATAAGCTACCGTAACCAAGATGGTGTAGTATTAGCATAAGGATAGGTATAGAAGTCAATGGAATAGAACTGAGAGTCCAGAAATAGACCATAACATTTATAGTCAATTGATTTTTGACAAAGATGCCAAGACAGTGTATTGATGGGAAGAATAGTCTTTTCAACAAATAGTTCTGGGACAACTTGACATCCATATGCAAAAGAATGAATTTGGACCCCTCTCTCCCACCACAATTAACTAAAATGGATCAAAGACTTACATGTAAGAGCTAAAACTATGAAATTCTTAGAATATGTAGTTGTAAATCTTCATGACCTTGGATGAGTCAGTGGTTTCTGAGATATGACACCAAAAGCACAAGCAATCAAAGAAAAATGATAAATTGGGCTTACTCAAGATTAAAAAGGTTTGTGCTTCAAAGGACATTATCAAGACAGTTCACAGAATGAGAGAAAATATTTGCAAATCATATTTCTGATAAACATCGAATGTCCAAATTATATAAAGAACTCTTATGACTGAATAATACAAAGACAACCGATTTAAACATGGGCAAAGGAATTGAATAGACATTTCTGCAAAGATAGACAAATGGCTAGCAAGGACATAAAAAGATGCTCAGTATCATTAGTCATTAGGGAAATGCAAATCAAAGCCACATACCTGCCTGCTAAGATGACTATAATTAAAAAGATGGGCAATAAGAAGACTGGTGAGAATGTGGAGAAGTTGGAACCTTACACATTGCTGGTGAGAATGGGAAGTGGTGCTGCTGCCATGGAAGGCAGTTTAGCAATTTCATGAGTGGTTAAACAGAGTTACCATCTGACCCAGGAAATTTCACTCCTAAGTACATACCCAAGAGAAACGAAAATATATGTCCATGTAAAAACTTGTCCACAAATGTTCATTGCAACCCAAAAGTAGAAACTTTTTTATAATAGCCAAAAAAGTGGAAACTACCTAAATGTCTATCAGTTGGCAAATGGTTAAACAAAATGTGATATATCCATACAATGGAATAAAGCAATAAAAAGGAATGTAACTATGGGTGAACCTTGAAAACATAGGCCAAGTGAAAGAAGCCAGACACAAAAGCCACATATTATAAGATTCCATTTATATGACATGTTCGGAGTAGGTAAATCCGTACTGACAGAAAATAGATTATTGGGGGCCGGCCCGGTGGCGCACTGGATAGTGCACCGCTTGGGAAGCGCAGCGGCGCTCCCGCCCGAGGGTTCGGATCCCACATACAGACTGGTTCCCGCTCACTGGCTGAGCAAGGCGCGGGAGCGACGCCGAGGGTTGCAATCCCGTTGCCAGTCCCCGGTCCGGTACGGGGGCAACACTGAGGGTTGCGATCCGTTGCCGGACACGGAAAAAGACAAAAGACAAAAAAAAAAAGAAAATAGATTATTGGTGGCCAGAGGCTAATGGCTATGCAGTTTCTTTTGGGGTTGATGAAATTGTTCTGGGGTTCAGTAGTGGTGATGGTTGCACAACCATGTGAATGTACTGAAAACTGCTGAATTGTACACTTTCAAAGGATGATTTTTATGATATGTGAATTTAAAAAAAAAAAAAAAAAAAAAACAGCAACAGAATAGAAGTCATTCAGCTCTCACTGCCCAAGTTGAGCATTTTACAGAATGCTTCCTCAGTGCCAGGCATGTAAGCCCTTTAGATACCTTGTCACTTATTCCTCACAGTACCGTTGTGAATCTTCTGTCAGAACTGGGACTCCTGACCCCTTCCCAGTACTCTTTCCACTGATTTGCTGTAGCTATTTTATAAAGAATTTTGGATGAGGGGAGAGCATGCTAATTTGGAATATCATTAAAATACTATTTTACAAAGTTAGGTGCTTTACTCAAATACACAGTTGACCCTAAAACATGGGTATGGTTCACTTAGTACTCAGTAATCAAGCTTGAAGGAAAGCAAAAACTTGAGAAATGGATTAAATCTCTGAAGTTAATGTTTTAGTATCAAGGAGTTTAATTCTTTTTTTTTTTTCTTTTTCCTCCCCAGAGATTATAAGAAAGAAACAAGTAAAAAAAAAAAAAATTAGAAATCTCTCTAAAGTGGGCATTCATCTTGTCCTGGTTTAACACTGGGGTAGAAAAGCTGGTTGGATTTTGTTCTCACAAAGTGCTAGTCATCAGAATATATTATGGTACATTGCTATTCTGTGAAACCAGAGTGGTTAAAGTAGAAGGCATCAAGAAAATATAAACTTTGTTACAAAGGTTAGTTTTATTTTATTCTCAGTGTTTCAGAGCAACCAAGCATGGGTTGAGAGCTTTTTATCCTTAAGCATACCTACATTGATTAATGTTTGCTTCTTATTAGTGGGTGTCTGAAAAACTTATTTAGCTTAAAACTCCTTGCAAAAATAAACAGAACTTGGTTAGTTTTTAAAGGGGTTATTCATACTTTTTAATGACTTTGACATGAAAACACCATTTTTTTAATATCTGTATTTTTAAAATCTCGTTCCTAAGATACTGGTTCTCTGGCTTTATTTTTTCATCATGTAATTAAAGAAAATTTATTAATTTTGTGTGAAAATTAATTCTAGAAACTTACAACTTGGTGTTGACTGAGAAGATTTTACTGTAATACAGTCGATTCCTGCTATTTAATGTCTTCCACATTATGCCTGAAGCACACTTGCTGTTAGTAGACAGCACTGAGATATGAATGTCCAAGTAACTAGCAAAGGGTATTCTTTCTTCCCCAGAAAAATATTGGTGGGAAAATAGTTTGGTCAGGGCTCTCACCTTGGGTCCCATTGGGTGTGGTTTAGCACATCCATTATAACAAATTGTGTGTGCGTGCGTGCGTGCGTGTGTGTGTGTGTGTGTGTGTGTGTGTGTGTGGATCGTATAACTTCGTATAATGTATGCTATACGAAGTTATTACGGATATAATCACTCTTTATGTTCAATTTCTGACTTTCTGTTACGCCATTCATCATATTCATGGTCCTCCTGCAGCCCTGCCCTATTCGTCAGCCATGCCCGGGCAGTTTCTTTATAGCCCCTCTTATATACTCAGCACTCTCTCGGAGAGAGAGGAGTTTGGTGAAGCAGGTAGACGTGCGTTGGCCTCGGGTGTCCACCCTGTGCAGCCATGCTTTCCAACCTATGGCTCCAAGGACCTTTTGGCCAGTTACCTAACTCATAGACCTGCGTGAAGAGGTCTGGTGACCTAGCCTGGCGTGTGAGGGGTCTGGGGACCCAGCCTTGCATGTGAAGGGTTTGTGACACAGTCTATGAACAGACTTGAGGGGTCTGTGGGCTCCAGACCCAGCCCTAGCTCAACAATCAGCCCGGTAGGTGCAGGATTACTGGCAGGTAAAAGAGCCCGACAAGTAGCGTGGTCACCTAGCTTTGCAATTGGCGTCACAAACAGGATTAAGAGCTAGACGATTGGCACTGTGAGCAGGATTCCAGGCCAGAGCCAGACAAATGTTCTCAAATTTGCTTTTAATAAACACTTACTTTGGTATCATAATCTCTTTATAATTATAATGTAGATGGACCAAGCCTGGATTCTAAATTCCATGAGGGCAGAAACTTTTTGTCATCACTATATAATCCTGGAGTTTATCCTTATGCCCTGTATACCATGAATGCTCAATGAATGTTATATAAATACATGTTTGTAATCACATATATTTGTATTATATAGAACGTTTTGTAACATATCTCCCCCCCCCAATTAACTGTAACATTACAAATTGATAACATTGTATGTAATAATTTTTGATGTTTTTGTTTTTCTTTAGGTTGGTATTTTGTATGGCATCTTTTCTTATCTAAATTCAAGTTTCTGCGGGAACTGGTGGGAGACACGGGATCCCAGGAGGGAGATCATGAGCCTTCAGGGTCTGAAACTGAAGAAGACCCTTCATCCTCCCCACACAGGATCAGATTTGCTCGCCAAAGGAGGGTGCCTGCTGATGAAGGCCACTGACGCCGGACATAGCCCTGTATTAGTGAATGATGGAAGGCAATGGCAGGCTTCTGTCTTTCGTGTCTTGGCTTTGAGGTTTACTAAATGACTGAAGAACATTTGTACTTGGATTTTTAAGTCCAATTCAAAAAAATATTTACATTGAAGCCATATAAAAATAAAGGGAATTAAAACCAAATTGGACCACTGCAAATTTCATCTTAAAGGTAATCTTTTGTTTTGTGAGCTTTGTACTTATACACTTATTCCTTGGCTCTTGGGCTTATTTTATTGCACTGGTGCAGATCTGATAAACATTATAGGCTTGAAAAACCATATTTTATTAGTCCTAAAATGTATGCTTTTCTCCACATTTTAACTTGTATGAAATTGGGATGCATCTCATTACTGTCAACCAGGTGATAGTCATGTAATTACCCTAGCTTTTGCATGTGTGAATTTACAGCTTGTCATAGTGTCATCACTTTAACCGAGGTATGTATTGTTGGTATCAAATGTGTCAGGCTTAATTGGCATTTAAAAATGTCTTCAAAAAGATTACACTATGATTCAGCATTGAAATGAAAAGTTATTGTGTATGCAGAAAAGCATGGAAACAGCAGCAGGGCATACATTTGATATCAGTGAAGCAAATATTTGTCATTGGAGAAATGACCGCAGCTCTATATTTTCTTGCAAAGCAACGACAAAATGTTTTACAGGACCTAAGAAAGGAAGATACCCACAGGTAGACAAAGCTGTAGTTCATTTTGTCAGTGAGACACGTGCAAAAGGATTGCCTATCACATGCCAAGCAATGCAATCGAAGGCAGGAGAAATTGCCAAAACCCTCGGAATTGATGAAACAGAATTCAAAGCAACGAGAGGCTGGTGTGACGCTTCATGAGTTGAGCAGGACTGCCCTTAAGGCATCAACCATCCTTTTGTCCAAAGCTTCCCACTGACATGAAACAGAAGACAGTGCTGGATCACTCTTTCAACAGATGCGTCACCAGTACTCCTGATAACATCCATGGCGATGTTGTGTGGGAAAACGCAGACATTGATGACTGATTTGAAAAGCGATTCAGAAGGGTTGGATTCTGAATTCGAAGTTATAGTTATAACTTAATCAATTTATTTCACACATTTTCTTTACATATGTATAAGGTTGGTGTGATAAAAATCTGTTTAATTCTAAAAGCACTGTTTTACTAAATACAAAATAAACTTGTGATACGAAAGCATTGTGTCATAGTTTAAATGGGCAGTGTTTTTTCCTTAGTGATACTTTGGTGCATCTTAGCAATTGATGGTATCTTAGATTAAATAAAAAATAGTTTGTAAATTTATTTTTCTTTCTAAGATAGCAATTATTGGAGAACTTAATTCTCACTCTTATAATAGTTATCTTCTATGAAATACATTTTTTGGGATAACCTATTCAAGACTTTAGAGTAGTAACTTAGGAATCTAAGACTATCTTCTACTTTAGGAAGAGTAAGATTAGTTACTCCCTTTCTATGGGAGGACTTTATGCTCAAGGCATGAGTTGTGGAGAAAAAACACTTCTTCACAAACAACTTCTCAGTGACAAGACCTCAAAGGTACTGGGTATTGAAAAAAATAGACTGGGTGAAAATACCTGCTTAACTGTAAAATGACTCTTGCCAGGTTTCCATGTTTGTCTTAATTGAACTTTGGACTGAGTGTTTACTAGGGAAGAGAGATACTGACTAAAGAACCTTCCTGTTTTGTTACCTGCTTTGTACAAGAATTAAATGCTAAGCCAGCTTATTTTATTAATCCAAGTTATTTTTTATGTTTTTAACCTGTTTCTCAAGAACAGAATATCACCTCTATTTTATGATGGTGTTTAATTATTTTGATACCTCATGCTTCATGTTGGTAGTTTTGTTTATTAATAGTTCACTGTCTCTGCCCCAAGTTGTATTCCTGATGAACACTTCTTTGCTAATATTGTAGCCCTTTGGATATACTAAAAGGGATTTCACAGAGCATGACTTCAGTTTTATATATTTGCTAGGGGAAGATTCCCAGCAGCTGAGAGTGGGGCACAATATTTCTGTCATTTCCTGATTGAATGCAGTTTTCTATATTTATGTGACTATAGGGCATAAAATAGTGATACAGTTTCAAGCATTAACTTTAATGCTTCATGCTAGATAAATATCACATTAAAGTGATCATCAGTTAGAAAAAAAATTAATGCCCAAAAAAGGTTCTTGGTAATGAGATAATATTTAAATAAGATTTTTCATAGTCTAACATTTTGAGCTGTGGATTCTGCTTTATGATGGGAAATCTGTTTAGTTGATAATAGTTGCTGAAAAACTTTAAGTAGCTGGCAAGCTTCCTGTTGTGTCAGTATTATAGCATGATGGCTGGTGTAGCCCTTCACCCCAAACCTACAAGGGTCCTGCCCAAAATAATTCAGAGTAATTACTGTAAAGCTATATATGTTGGCATTATTTATTGACATTTATGCTTCAAGCACGTCTGAGAGAATTTTAAGTAAAGTTCTGCTTAACTTACGTGAGAAACATACCTAAAAGCATATTAATTACTAGCTCACATTTAGCATGTTTTAACTTTCACTTAGAGGATCACTGCTGCCAATATGAAGATTCTACGAACAAACCCTTTCCTGAAAACTTTTTTTCTTCTTGCACCCCACAACATGCCATAGTATGTATTTCTAAGGCCACTAAGGCAAGAGAAATAGTTGTTAACGCAGAATTATTTGCTGTATAGTGTTTGTTTTTTTCCTTTTTTAGTGCTCTTTTTTTCCTTTTAGTGCTGAACCTACCAGAACTACATCACAACCTGCATTTTCAGTCTCAGTGGGATATGGACTAGCCTGTGGTTAATTTTAAAGTTTAAAAGGTTATGAGCATCAAAAATACAAGTATTAGGGGCCGGCACGTGGCTCACTCGGGAGAGTGTGGTGCTGATAACACCAAGGCCCCGGGTTCGGATCCCATATAGGGATGGCCGGTTTGCTCACTGGCTGAGCGTGGTGCTGACAACACGAAGTCAAGGGTTAAGATCCCCTTACCGGTCATCTTTTGAAAAAAAAAAAAAAAAAAATACAAGTATTAGAATTTTGTCTGAATCCTCACAAAGAGTGATGGTGATCGAGTGTGCCATCTTTTGAAGATTAATCCTAAAATTGAGGACTCTGGTAGGTTGTTTGATTTCCTTCCCAACCAACCATTCCCAAATCTTTCTGACTTTGCCTCTGAATCTTTTTGTGATAATTACGTATACCAATTGGTAGCATTGTTCAAATTTAAATGCCAAAAAAACCCCAACTAAATGTTTGTGTAGCACTGTTAAGTGAGGTTTTTAATACTTACATTAAGCTAAATATAGAATTCAATTAATGGGTTTTGTAATGATGTTTTCATGGTGGAAACAAATACATTGTTACGCAGTGGACAGCCATTTCACAGATGTGCTGAACCATTTCTTTAGATGTTATTAGGTTTAAAAACCATTAAAAAATGTTATTTGCTGTAAGTTTGGAATATATAAAGTAATAAATTCACAAAATGTGGCCTCTTAAAACATGTTGAAAGATTTGAAAGTAGTGCATTTTTTCTTCTAAGAGCAACAGTTTTGAAAATTATTTTAAGTTAATGATGCAATATTTTGTAAAGTCAGTTTTCCTCAAAAGGTATGTTTTAACGTAACATGTAACTAATGTAACTAGATTTTGACTGGTAAGTTTCAAGTGCTTTTATATTTGAGATTGATTTAAAAAGCCAGTGAGGAGTCCTCGAAGGTTATAGATGCTCAAGCAACTAAAGGAATAGTGTTCTGTTATGGAGTCTAGAATGAAAGCACCTTGTATTATCTGTTTCTAAAGTGTCCTATAGTTTTTAACTTAAAGTATAAAGAGTAACTTTTCATCCTACGTTAATGAGAGTTACGTTTTCCATTTGTCAATGTACATGCACCGCCTGTTTTGTGAGGAATGTTTAACGTTACCCTCCAGGTCAGTTCTGTGTATAACCGTTCACCAAATACTGCTGCTGTGATTTCTTAAAGGAAACATTCTGTGTTGTACTATGATGCATTTGTCATCTTGCTGCTTGACCAATAGGCTTATAAGGAATTAGAATTGTGTGTACTTTTGTATAACAAGATGTATATTAAAGATGAGGAATGAGTGTAAATGATTGTTCACTTTTTGTCTTAAAACTGGTCAGTACTATATCTGAGTTTCTGTGGTTTGTCAGTATGATGTTTTAACTTTCACTTTAAACTGCACAGAATAAATTAAAATGAAACAGACCAAAGTTGTATATGTCTCATTGATAAAGGATAAGTATGAAGGGTAACTTGGACATGAAGGGATTTGAAAGCAGTTATTTTTACTAATGGTCCACACTTCACCTATTTTTTTCAAACTCTAAAAAATCTAAGAATTGAGAGGATAGCAGTAGTCCTTTATGACATGAAAGTAATCGACTTAGAACCTAAAGGGCACATAGCTTTGGGGCTAAATTATTATGCTTACCATATTCAGCCTTTTGTTTTCTTCTTGTATTATATCCAACATCAAGATTATTTTGATAATCTGTTTACCATAAATTATGTCTCACATTTTTCTTAGTATTAACCACCAGGAAGATTGAGGAAATGACTTTGAGAGCCCGTTTAGTATAGGGAACCATGAATTTCAGTGGCTGGAGGCCAAGCTGTGATTTCTCTCCAGCAGTGCTCAGCTGCCAAGTAGGTAGAATGGGAAAAAGTGGGTCACGCCACGGTCGGGCTTTGTAGGGCCTTGAGTCTGAAAGGCAAGGTCGTTAGAGATTGCTAGAGATTGACCCTGGGATTTGGGTTGGGTAATAAGACAAGTCAGATCAGTAAGACATTGGTAAACTGGGTGAACAGAAAGGGGTAAAGATAAAGTGACTGTGACATTGTATAATGGATAGAATAGGAAGTTTGGGGTGGAGACTAGGATTTTAGAGGTGAAGCAATACTGAGCAGTGATGCTAAATACAGCCATAGAAAAGGAGACTCTGAGAACGTGACTCATTCTAGTAGGTATTGTGTGAACCATCAGCCTGGCCCCTAATACTTTCTGCACGATGGCTGGAGTTGGGATGAAGAAGATGATCATGAGCTGAGGGCCAAGGCAGGGACTTGGAAGACTTGCTGTCAAGGTCTGGGATGTTAGGTGTCTCTTGAAGGAATTTTATGCAAATGGAAGGGGAATGTTCTGGTGTAGCTGTGAGAATGTGTCTCCTCATCCTGGCCCCCACCACGGCAACTCTACACAAGCCCGTATATGCATTATTATATCGAGTATAAGTACTTCAACTGTATTATAAAAATGATGCTGTTTATGTAGAACTTTGTGGGGGCAGGGGAAAGAAGAACAGCAAAAGCTTCACTAAGAATCTTAAAGGGAGGAGCAGGAATTTTCCAGATAGAGGATGAGAAGAGGATTCCAGACAGAAGAAAGAGCACGTGAAAGGGCAGAGTCACAGAAACACACCTTGTTTGGAGAACTGTAGCTAGTTGGTTATTCCTGGAATAGAGAGTGCAAATGGGGGACTGGTTTGAGACTAGAGATGCACAGATGATGTAGGTCACAAAAGACCTTGTATGCAATGGCAAAGACTTTGAACTTCATGCCATATGTGATAGTACAGAAATACTTAAAATTGAGCAAGCACTGATTCACTTATCATATATTGGAGTGACTACTCTTCCAGGACTACTAGGTGTGGATGGCTTAGAAAGCTCATGCTAACATCAGAGAAGAGGGTTGATTGGAGGCACAATGGGAACAGGGTGTCTCTTAACTGTTCCATCAAGAAAACAGAACTAGTTGCAGACTGGAAAGGAGTCATGACTATGGGAAGTTTGAGAACGTGAAGAGTCAATTGGTCTTGAGGTTAGATTGTGAAGGAGAAGGGTAAATAAAAGGTGATTTCAACATTGAAATTTGAGGTTGATAATACTGACGGATGCATGTAAAAGAAGTAGGTTTGAGATTAGGCATAGGGAAATGGAAGACAGGAGTCCAGTTTGGGGCCTGCATTATTTGAGTTTGAGGTGCTTATGGGCCATTAGGTAGACAGAAATAACCAATTGTACAAATAGCAGAGGGGCATGGGTTGAAAGCACACACTCAGTGGTCATCAGTGTGTGGATGCAGTTGAAGCGGTAGCAAAAATAGGAACCCCTAGCAGAGAGGGTGGAATAAGAAGAGTCCCAGGGAGTGGCTATGGTTTGAATGTTTTTGTTCCCTTTAAAATTCATGTGTTGAAAGCTTAATCTCCAATGCAACAGTGTTGGGTGGTTGGGCCTTTTGGGAGGTGTTTACATCATGAGGGCTCTGCCTCTTGGATTAATGCTGCTGTGAAAAGTGCTTCCAGACGTGGGTTCTCTCTTCTGCCCTGCCATGTGAGGACAAAACCTTCCTCCTGTCTGGAGGATGCAGCAGAGGAGCAGGGAGGCACCATCTGGGATCCAGGGACTGAACCTCCTGGCACCTTGATCTTGCTTGGACTTCCCAGCCTCCAGAACTGTGAGAAAATAAATTTTTGTTCTTTATAAATTACCAAGTTGCAGGTATTCTGTTACAGCAGCACAAAACAGACTAAGACAGGCTCCTAACATAAGTATTAAAGAGGCTGGTAAATGAAAAAGAGTCCATTAAGGAAGGACACTGAGAAGGACTGGTAAGAGAACCAGGAATATACCTGAAGGAGAGTAATGTGCTAGAAGCAAAACAAACTTGAAGAGCAACTGTTCAACTGATATATATTAGAGATGGTGTTGCTCGGAGCTGACTATTAAGAAATTGTGGCAATGGGAAGCTATTGCAGTAGTCCACGCAAAAGATGATGTGAGTCTGTGCAGGGTCGGTGGTAGCAGGGACACATTGAAGAGAGATCGGTGGGAGCAGATTTGACAGGGTTTGGTGCTTGATTAGATGCAGGAGGTGAAAGACAAGGATGAGTCAATGGAGGATCACTGATGGAGGACACTGGGGTGAAACTTGTTTGAGGGGACAGCCTGGGTGCATTTTAAGAACAGTGGAAATGGCCAGTCTGGATCTTCAGATCCTATCCAAATGCTTTAACTCTATAGCTGGCAATTTATTTAATCTCTCTGTTTTTTGGTCTGCTAAATGTAAATGATAATATCTGTCTCATAGGACTGATTTTTTTAAATGCTCATTAAGTATACTAATATATAGTAGGCAACCAGTAACTTAACCACCCTCCTTCCCTTCTTATCCACCTTTGTGACTGTAGAAGGCTTCTTAATGACAGCTTGGTTCAGGAGTTAGTTTATTGAAAAAGTTCTTTGAAATAGAGAGTCACAAAAACATATACATTCATCCTACACTATTTCTAGATAAGGCCAAGGCTTTTTTCACTGAATATAGATCCATTAGAGTCGCATCTCATTTTCTTTGCAAAAGTCAGACTTAATTCTATGATTTATACTTTTTTCTCTTAAAATTAGAACAAGATCAGAACCTTGCAGGGCAATGACTTTTTTTTTTACTCATATTTCCCACCCATGCCACATGTGATAGAGAATACTAAAATATTTTCAGTTGAGTGAGCACCGGTTCACTTATTTGATATATACTATAGTTTCATTCTATAGCATTATTAATCTAGTACTATATTCTACAGTATATACAGTACATATATTTATAGTTAAAAATAGTAAAGTGTATGTATATTTTACAGTTGCCTCAATTATACTTAGGTGGACAGGATTTTTAGCATCTTGCCTTTATCAAATTTTCCTAAAGCATTCAACTAAGTTTTTTATAAAAATAGAATCCCCTTTTTCACCCTTATTATTTCATCGTAATATATAATTAAGTTATATAATTACAATATCAGAGACAACTGGAATAAGCATGTTTGGGAACAATTTTGGTTAAACATAGAAATCATTTGGTGAAAACAGAAATATGTGAGCACACAAGACAGTAACCCTCTACCCCTGACTCTGCACCACTCGGGCAGAGACCAGGCATCTTACTTCACAGAGCAAACGGAAGCCTCAGTGGACTCCACATGGCCTTCTGCAGAACGGTCCCCACTGTCCGCATCAGTTCCTGCCTTCTCCTTCCCTCCTGGTGCATTCGAGGAAACGAATGCAATCCTCTTTCACTTTGGATCTTGTTTCCTCCCACTTCAGGAAATCGACACTATCTGTGATTTCTTCTCCTATATGAGTATATTTGGTTGCTCCCCGTCAACTGGTCGCTCCCCTTCAACATTTAAATATAGTCATTAAACACATACTATCTTGCAAGAATGGAGGAATAGCCTCCTTCTTCCCTGTCCCCTCAGCTGCCAGCTTCTCTTCCCTCCCCACTTCACACCAGACCCTCCCTCTGGGACACTTGACAAAACCTGAAGGACATTTTCCAGTCCTCGACATCGCCTGACCCACCAGCAGCATTTGCCATGGCTGCTAATCCCTTCCTTGAATCATTCTTTTCCTTGGCTTTTATGATACGAAATGCTCCTGGTTTATTGATTTTATTCCCGTCTGTCTTGATCTCATATATAGGCTCATCTCGCAAATAAATGTCAGCATTCCCTGGGCGAAAGTTCTAGTACCCTTTTCCTTACTCTGTGCTGTCTCCTCAGGCAATCCTACTTGTGACTTCAGCTGCCACTTCTTCACCAGCGGGGCCCACCTTTCTATCTCTTGAGCCAACTGTGCTCTCAGTGTCTCCTCTCGGATGTCTTGAACGCTGGCCAAGCTCAACATCTGCAAGGTCAAATATCTGACCCCTTCAAACCTGGCGTTCTTCCAGTGTCCCTATGCGGTTAATTAAGTCGTCAACCTAGTTATCATCCTTGATGCTTCTCTGGTATCCTGTATTCAACACATCACATCTTGTTGATTTTACTTCTGAAATAGCTCTTGAGACCACGTACTTTTCTCCATTTTCTTATTAGTGTCTGGTAGGCGATATAGTGTGATGCTTATGAGTGTGGTCTCTGGAGTTAGACTTCTGTGTGCCTCATTTTTCATCTGTAAAATGGGCATAGTGATAGTACCTATGTCCTAGGGTTTTCGTAAGGATTGAATGAGTTAACACACATAAAGCATTTGGAATCGTGCCCACCATACACTGAGTATTCCCTGCCATTTTAGTGCCCTCTTGGACGATGGCACTAGTGGCTGTCTCAAATCATTACAGCCCATCTCTAACCTTTTCTCCTCAATGTCCCCAGAATGATCTTTCCGAAACTCAAATTTGTCATCTCCTTGCTTATAACACCTGAACAGTTT